AGAGAGAGAGAGAGAGGAGGCTCTAACTGGATCTACTAAATTAGGAGTAAGATAATGTAGTTAGAATGGGACGTAGCTACCTTTTGGATTCTCCTATGTTCCAAAGATTGGAGCAAGCGCAAATTAGTACAATATTTAAAAAATGTAATAATTGTGGCTTTCTACCAATCAGTCAGCTTTAGGCATATCAGTCGCATCGTCATGTGATAGGCAGTATCCATATATTTTTCCCATCAAAAAGGATATGAACTTAACATCATATATAGAAGTATGATGTACCAATTAATGTGTTTATTGGTGGCCATTCAGAAAGGTACCTTGTATATATTGTGCATGACATGATAGATTGGTTGATAGGTCCAGGACGTTTACACTCATACTTCTTGTGGCATGTGTAAAGCTGTGAAAGGCGAGAAATGTGATGCTTCCTTTTTATGGCTTTTCTAGCCATATTAATATTTTAACACTTTTCTTTTATTTGTTATGGAGTTCACATTCACAGTATGATTTTTTCGTTTGATTAGTTTTGATAATTTTTTGCAGATTTGTGTAGTTTCTTCTGTCCATCGTGGACCTGTTTCCACTGAATACACTGTTACTGGAACAACTTATGCTCCAGAAGGCATAATTTTTGATGCTGCAGGGTTGCAGGTATATTCCTTTTCCAGGAGATGGATTTTCATCTTTGAATAATTTAATCTATCAACACAAAATGACTGAGATATTGTCAAAAATGGAAATTCACTAACAATATTTGTGAACCATATATACAGATAAAGGAGTCAGTGCAGGAGCCTGGTGGTATGGATCTTTTTGTTCAACTCCTAGGGCGACTGCTCTGTTCCTAAAACTTTCCATACAAAAGGAAAAAGGAAAATCTGCCAAGCCATAAAAAACAGAAAAGAAGAGAGAGAGAGAGAGAGAGAGAGAGAGAGAGAGAGAGAGAGAGAGAGAGAGAGAGAGAGAGAGTAGAGTACGTACGTACGTAGTAGTAGTAGTAGTAGTAGTTAGTTAGTTAGTTAGTTAGTTAGTTAGTTACGTTAGTTACGTTACGTTACGTTACTTACGTT